AAAAAGGGCACAACAAATAGATTATCTTGTATGTCGAGCTGGACAAATCCCAGGGGCCAGGTAGCCAATGCTCCTCAAAACCTGCAGCTGGTGCTCAACTTTTAAGGATCTCTAGTTGCTGTCAATGGTGGCGGCTGCTAAAAAAAAAAATCTTGCTTGCTTCTCAATTGGGCAGACTGGCTCCTGAATTCCACATGTATCTGTTCATCACTATTGTATACAAAGAAGGACTCTATAGGGATTTATATTCCATACAAGTCCTTTTGTACAAGGCAGGGGTAGGCAAGGTTGATGATCCAGCTGTTGTGGAATCACAAGTCCCATTATGCACTGCTAGATTGACAGCTACAGACATGACTTTCAGAGGCATGATGGGATTTGTAGTGTCACCATAGCTGGAGTGCCAAGCTATAAGGCAAAATAAAAAGTCATGAAACATTGGGAAATAAGGCATAGACACAGTTCTTACGGAATATACATTAAACCAGATTTAGGTAGATATAATACAAGGAAGATGAACAGCGGGAGATCTACAGCACAGCTCCCCTAAAGCTTTATTCACATTTAAAGTGAATGTCCAACAAAAACATATTCTAGTTTTGGATAAGAGTTGGAAATGTTGAGAACCCCTGCCATGTTTTTACTGCTATCTTTTTAGATTGTAGCGGGGGTCCGCCCGCACTGCAAGGGATAAGTGCTCGTTTGGTCTAGGGGCCGGAATAAAAAAAGAAATAAAATACTCACCTGATCCTCTTCTCCCCCAGGCTCCGGTGGTCTAAGCCTTGCTGACGTCATTGCGTCTCATGCAGGTCCATTGATGGAGAGGGGTGAGTGCCAACCACCAGCGTTAAGTAAAACAGCTTATTCCAGCCTCTAGACCAGGGGTGCCCATTAAGTCGATCTTGATCTCTCAGTCGTTTACAAAGCTAACGCTGGTAGAGTGCAATGGCGAGTCAACACGTTGTCCTGAGCTCCCTCCGGCGGTGCAAGTGCAGCCGAGCATATAAGACACTGCAGGCGGGGAAATGTTTTAATTTATTTTATGTTTACTTCATCGCTATCACATTTGGAGGCCCACAAGCCCCTATGTGATAGCATAGTATTATTATTATTACATAGTATTTATATAGCGCCAACAGTTTGCGCAGCGCTTTACAATATAAGGAAGACATTACAATTCAAGATAGTAGTGGCGACAGGTTCTCTTTAAGGTGACATTAGGGGTCTAATCAGACCTCTATGGTCACATTTCTGCAAAGAACCTATTCACGTGCAGATCGCGCTGGAATAGCTTCTTCCCCGGCTTCTCTAGCTCAGGAATGACAGCTGAGGACCCGGAACTGATGCAATCAGCATGGCTTCCGACCCCGTTCAGCGGGGAGATCAGTGAACAGATGTTTGCCAGTCTCTCCCCGACAACACCCGTGATGCCGGTCCTAAGCCTGCAAGAGGGGCAGCAGAGCCCGAGAAGCAAGGCGGAGGGTTCAGGGGTGGGCCCCAGGAAGCAGCTCAGCTGCCAGAATAACTTCCAGTGTAAAGCCGACCATGAGAACATTTGTGCATAGCAACCAATCAGCTTCTCCGTTTCATTTTGAAAGCTAAAACTGAAGAGAGAAGCTGATAGGTTGCCATAGGCAACTGCTTCAGTTTTGTATGATTTACCCCCAATGTGCTTTTAGTGTGAATCTAAAGTGTGTGCGAGTCCCATCTGAATAACATTGTGGGGGGGGGGG